TTCAGACAGAATCTTGGAAGGATGGGCGCCAGGTTAAGGGTAACTGGGCAATGTGGGAAAAAATCTGGCCTTTTGGGACTTATATACCCAGGGGTCATCTTCTCCCTCCTTGAGAGGGAGATGAGGTGGTCTTTCCAGTTCTGTGGGAAAGCCGAGGCCCGCCCTGGGAGTCTGAGGATTCAGGGGAGACCACTTGGCCGCTGCTGTTCCTGGTTTCCTGCCTCTGCTGAGCTCTTGTTCTCTAGGTGTTCGAGCTGTTTCTTTACCACAGACGTAGATCCCTGTGTGGGCTCTGGCTCCCCACCTCCCTGCACCCACCATCAAAGCCACCGCAAATACAAGTCAAGAAGTTGTAAGAGTCACCAGAAAGGCATGACATTTGTGTGCCGATCAACAAACTTAAAAGGGCACAGAACACAGAACAGACTTCCTGCTCCGGAATGTTCTCTGGACCACCCTGCCCTCCAGGGGTGCTTACTGGCTGCCCATCCCTCAGGGCATCTCTTTGGTATCTCTTACTTCCTTATTCCAAGTCTCCTTGTCTTCTGTCAGTCAAAGGGTTTTTGCTGTCTCCATGCCCAGGCCGGAAGCTCCCAGGCCCACCTCTGCAGAGCCCAAGTGCATCAAGCTTCTCAGCTACTGGAGAGCTTTCTAGGCCATTAGCAGCACCAAGGACCAGCAGGGACCTGCCGGGGAGGGCCCTCCCTCTGCCAGGATGCACCCTCTTTAGTGGGCACTTGTGGTTTTCAATAGCGTTTTTTCTTTCCGTCTTTAGATTAGCTTCTGATAGAAGGCTGAGTCTTTGAGGCAGATGGTCTACAATCTTTCATGTCACTCATTCATTCACTTATTCACTCAATACATATTTAAGCAAGGTCAGTGTGGTACATACGGATACCCAAAGGACAGATGCCAATGTGCCCATTTCTAGAAACTTGCCGATGGTTGCTCATTTCACCGGTGACTGTGACGACAGTGAGAATTATGAATACTTAGGTATTGCCCAATACAGTAAAAACTGAAACTCCCAAGCTGTTATTTATTGAAGGTTATGAGAATTCTTCCCCTTGCAAAGGGATTTGCTACGGGATTAAATAAAGCCAGAGAATTTTAGAGTTTGGAGGGACCTCGGGGACCAGCTCGTGCCATCCCTTCATTAAGCAGCGGTGGAGAGGAAGGTTTAAAAAGCTTAAGAGACTTGCTTCTAATTAGTCAGTGATGCCAGAGCCAGCCAGTCCTGTCCAGCGCTGCTTTTTCATTTCCAGAGCTGGTCTGTTTCCACCGTGCCTTACGTCATGTGGAGACGCTCCAATGCCAGTGAGGACAATGATGACAATAATGCCTTTTCAGTGCTTTTTGTGTCTCGGGCACTGTTCAAAGTGCTTTCAGAAGTCACCACATTGTTCTCATAGAAACTCCATTAATACCATTGAGAGAGTCTGGAGGCACAGAGAGACTGAGCAGCTGGTCTAACGTCACACAGCACACCAGTACTGGCGTTGGGGTTCTAATCCAGCCTACCTGGTTTCTGAGCTCACACTTAGAACCACAGGTCTCTACAGGGGCTTGGCTTCTCTTCCAAGGGGGCTGCCCTGACCAGGAGCCCCTGGAGAGAAATGTGTTTCCACCCACATATTTCGAGGCAGGTACTTCTGTACTGAACAAAATTTCAGTGCTTCGTAAACCAAAGCTTGGATTCTTACCTTTGGGAAAATCTTTTAAAGTATTGAGTCGCTATGTATAGAGCTGTCTTTAAAGTTCATAAAATAGCATAAAAGCAGTTGCTATGATGTGTGGGACAAGAGCAGACATGTGACGGAAAGATTCGAGTGAATGGGACCGTGACCCGGCAGACTTTACAGAGTGGGATATTTGGAAATAGTCTCATTCAAACCCCAATTGTGTGTGGTCTTCTTGAGAAGGAACTGGATTCAGGGAACTGCTTGTCCCACAAATCAAGTTATCTCTTAGCACAGATTAGATTAAATATTTTGTGCTATTAGTGAATTAAGGCCAAGTATATTCCTTAGTCAGAAATCTTCTAATTGGAGTCTTAGCGTTGACTTTTTTTATGTATGCTTGATGAATTCCCAGAATAAGCCCCTTTCCCCTCAGCTTTGATAGTCCAGAAATGTCTCACTGTAAGTAGGAAGTCCCAGGAAAACCCAGATAAATTCTCTAATCAGCTTCTCCCTCTGAAGCTGCTATTCAAATTAACCAGGGAGAACAGGATAAACTCGAATGCATCCATCTCAGCAACACCTCCCCTAATCCAGGGGAGTCCTAGGAAAAAAGAGAAAAAGAGAACATTCAGAATCTGGAGTTTTATATATGCTCACAAGCAGCATGCACCCAAAGTCATTTATATTATCTGGGGAAGGGGGTGGGAGGAAACTTATTTTCCGGGGAACATTATTGGCTGAGTACAAATGGGTGGCTCTTTACTGGCTCTCTTCGTTGTAATGGTTGTAAGGATGACAGGCTGGGGATGGTGTTTAGTAACAGGGTCCAGCAGGTCAGTTATGACAACTTCATCAGTGTCATTAGTGCCTTTTGTTTACAGCAAACACAAAACTGTTCAGCATGAAGAGAGTCCAGGGAAAGAGAAGAGGAGGGTGGAGAAAGTGACGGAGCCAAGGAGAGAGCTACGGAACCGAGGCTGGCACACCATTAACACCGAGGAAAGCTATCTGGGAGGGATCCAGTCCTCTGATTTCCATGGTGGACTCCCTGTTCTTTTTTCTCAAAGAGCAATCACTTATGTTTAGAAAGGCTAATCATTTTTGCCCATTTTGGTTCCTAGAAATGCCTCAGGGAGATGTTATTTTCGGTAAGGGGTCTTCCTGCTTCAAGTATACTTTCAGTATCTAGCCTACTAGGGTAAAATAAAGCAATATCAACAGGGGAAGTGCAGTAATCTTTATTGGACACCTACTGGGTGTCAGGGAAGGTGCATATTTATGTCTCTCCTCCTTCGTCTGTTCAACAACGCTGTGGGGAGTGGCCCCAATGTTAATGAGAACAGTGAAGTGCAGAGATGGAATATGTTGCCTCTAAAATCACTCAGCTAGTCAGAGCAGGGCAGGGATTTAAATTCACCTGTCTCTCTCCCTGGCTGGTGTAGCTCAGTGGATTGAACTTGGGCTGCAGACCAAAGGGTCCCTGATTAGATTCCCGGTCAGGGCACATGCCTGGGTTGCAGGCCAGGTCCCCAGCAGGGGCCATGTGAGAGGCAACCACACATTGATGTTTCACTCTCTCTCCCCTCCCCCTCTCTAAAAATAAAGAAATAAAATCTAAAAATTCAGGTGTCTCTCTCATTCCAAACTTACCACACCAGGCTGCAATGCTTCCCAGACAAAAGAAAAACAAAATAACCCACCACCACCAAAAAAAGAAAAATTCTTAACTGAGTCAAAGAGGCCAGTTTAAAAATCTCTGTACTTGGAGGACCAAGTACAAGTAGGCAGAGGCGTGTATTTATTTGATGATCTAATCATGAGAAAAGTGGTATGATAAAAAGACACACTGAAAGAAACTGTATTAAATATGTTTGGCTTTTTTTGGAACTTGCCCTCCTTCTGGGGTGACCCTTGACAAGACATTCTGTGTTCCTGTTTTTAGGCAAAAAAAAAAAAAGTGGGTGGAAGATGAAAGGCTGATATTTGGCTTATGCAAATCTTGGGAAATGTCTGGTGAAACTGACCGATTGTGATGGCAGACAGAGAGGGAACAGATTTGAGTGGGGGGACAGTTGAAAAATGGAAAGAGATGAACAAAAGAGGGCAGGGTTCCTGTGATGACCAGATCAGGCCGCCTCTGCTGTGACATCACATGCAACGTCCAAAATTCACCCTTGGCCATGTCTGGTGAACTCTTTTAACCCTGCAAGCTACTGACAGAACGTTTACTCAAATCCTAGTAAAATCTAGGCTCATGGTGCAATACGATCAACGCAGATAAATTTTTAAAAATGAATTCCTAGCTCAGGTCTTCTGGAGACTTCTGGGTATCCCTTCACGCCACTCCAGTGCGCCACATGGGTCCTGAAACGTGCACTAGCATGTGTACTGCAGTAGAAAAGTAAGAAGCAAATGAAAACCCCAGGCCCACGTGGGGAGTGGTAACCAGCCCCAGAGACTGAGGATCAGGAAGCTGGAAATTCCCTCTTGCTTTGGTGTTTCAGCTTCTAGCTTTTCCACTTCCCCAAATCACCCTTGTGGTGGGTCAGCGTGCACAGGAGGTGCTCCCTAATTTTCTCTTTAACTGGGAAAAACAACAGCAGGGATACGAGTTCTCAGCCACCATTTTAATAACCAAACTCAAACCTCTCTCACCCATCTGCAGTGGAGCGGTGACCACCTTGAGCAGACAGCTCCTCCATCAGTGGGCTCTCTAAGGGCTGCCCGGCTCCCAGTGGGGAGCTCTCACCCCACTTTGCTCTGCTTGGCATGAGACAAGCAACTTTCTCCAACTGTTGGGTTTCTCTTTGCTGAGTTTACAGAGGGGATGTTCGGGGTCAGGAGGAGGTGTGGGGGCTCTGTTTTAGAGAGACCCTGACCACGGCTGCAGCATCACCTGCGGGGACATCGCTGGGGCCACCCCAGACCTTCTGGAGGAATGCTGATTGAACTACCCAGTTTCAGAACTACTTTGTCCAGGGCACAGAGACCTCCCCGCTGCCCCCCGTGTGGTAGGCATCGGGTCCCGCGCAAGTCCGACTTGCAGTGGTCCTGGGCGAGAGAGGGGCGTGAGAGCGCGGGGAGCAGGGGGCGGGAAGTCCGGAGGAGGAGGAGTAGAGGAAGTCCCTCGTGGCCACCCCGAGGGGAGGGCGGGACGGTGCCGGTGGGGACTCTGCCAGGAGGCACGGTGTTCCGAGGGCCTGGCCAGCCAGTCCCAGCGGGAAGGGTCACTCACCGCGGGGCGCGCTCTCCGAGCAGACCCCTCGCGGAAGGGGCGGGGGCGCGTGCGCGGGGCCGCGGGCGGCGCGCGCGGGGGGCGGGGCGCGGTGACCCCGGCGGGTGCAGGGCTGCGGCGCGCCGGGCGCTGAGCGGGACGCGGGAGGGGCGCGCGCGAAGGGGCGCGCGCGGTCGGGAGCGCGCGGGGGGCTGCCCCGGGGCGGCCCCCCCACGTCGGGGCGCAGCGGGCGGCGGCGGCGGGAGCGCGTCCCGTCCGGGTCCCGAGGAGCCGCCGCCGCCGCCGCTCGCCAACATGGCGGACCTAGAGGCCGTGCTGGCCGATGTCAGCTACTTGATGGCGATGGAAAAGAGCAAGGCGACCCCGGCCGCCCGCGCCAGCAAGAGGATCGTCCTGCCGGAGCCCAGGTACCGGCTTCCCGGGTCCGCGTCGCGGTCCCCAGCGGCCGCCAGCGACCCCCTGCGTCCGGGAGGGTTCGGGCGCTCGGCTGCTGCTTTCCCCCTCCGGCGACTTCGGGGAGTGGGCACTGCGGGGCCGGCCTCGCAGTTCCCGTCTCAGAAACGGGGCAGCGGAGGGCCGTTGGGGGGGACTCCGGGAAAGAGCGCCGCAAAGTGCCCCGCGCGCGGCGAGCGCTCCAACGAGGGGCTGGTTAGGATGTGGTTGTGACTTCGCTGGATCAGTTCCATACTTGTCGCCCCCTTCTGTCCCATCCCCGTCTCTCAAGCCAGCCCCATCCCTGTCTATCCGTACAGCCTGATCTTTCTCCCCGTAGTTCCCTCCTGTTCCATGCCTGTCCCTGTTGCCCCACCTCTGTTGCGCATTCTACCCCATCCCTATCCTCCCTGTCCAGCCCCTTCCTTCTGGTCTCCTTCTATCCATTCCTGTCATTCCCTTGAGCTCCATCCATCCTGGTCGTTCCTTCCCTGGTTCCTGCTGTCCGAGTTTCCAACCACCCTCTGCTCAGCCCCCTCTGGGCTCTTTAGTCGTGTAGGCATAGTGCCCTTTGTCCCAGGTATGTAAACTACAGTTCAAGGCTTGTTCCCTTCGAGGTCCATTCGTCTAGTTGGCTTCCTACCGTCCTTTCCTTTCCTCTTTGTGTCCCAGGCAGTAACGAGTGGACTGTGACCCACTCAGTCTTCTTTGTGGTGCCGAGTGTGTCACCTGAGCTGCTTCCCTCAACTGGCAGTTCCACTGGTGGCACTTTGTTAAAGAATTGAAATAAGATTCACTTGAAAATGCACATTGAATGGGTGATTCCAGACTGGGAGTTGTTTAAATAGCCAGAAGAAGGGCCCCCATGGAATTGGCAAGGGGCTTGGTGAGGCCATACCAAGTTGTAACTTAAAAAATGGTTTTAAATTAAATGTATTGGGTTGACATCGGTTATCAAGTTGTAATTTTATCTTAACTGAAAATGATGTATTATTGATGAGCTAGTAAAAGGCTTCACTAATTCATATCCTTATCAGAACCCCAGAAAAGATTCTTCATCAGATTAATAGTGACTTTCTAATAGTGTTTTAAACTAGCATTAGGGTTGGCGTCACCCCCCCCCCCTTTTTCCTAATTCACACCATCATGAGTTGTCAGCAAATGTGGCTTCTTCTCCCTAAACAGCTCTTGGTGGAATTAATGATAGAGACCTGCTCTTTAGGATGACCTTGAGGCCATGCAGTCTTGTAAACTATTGGAATCTACACCAAAGCCACTCTCCATTGGAAAGCGTCGGTCTCTGTAGCCTTATACGCCCAAGTTTGCTTCAATGTTAACCAGATACAAGGGGGAAAAATAAATCTTTCTTTCGATGCTAAGCCATCACCAGATTATTTTTACAGGTCCATTTATGAGTCCAAGCGCTACCCCATAGAAAGGATCAGCCCCTTTGAGTTATTTGCTGTGAAAAGCCAGATTGTGTCAATGAACACACACTTGCTAATTCTTTCTGGGTTGCTGGCCCTTCTCAGCCCCCACGTTGGGTTGGTTCTGCAGGCAGTGCTCTTTGAAAAGCAACGACAAACAGTAAAAATCAGGGAAGAGTCCAGACCATTTGGAGGGTTGTGAAATTAACACTCCGGGTCCGCCTGAACGCATCTGAAGCTCGTTGAGTAATCAGTGCCATTTAAAATTTCCAGCCACCGGGAAACGGGTTAAAACAAGAACATACCCTCCAAACCTGAATTTCATTAAAAAAACAAACTACATTTCTATAAATGTGGAATAAAATGCTTCATTCCTCTTTCCGCTGCCTTCCCTACCCTCCCTCAAGGGTAAGGAGCCCCAAGTATATAGAGTTTCTGCATGTAAATTCAATAAATTTTGACATGTGCAGTCTTTTTTGGGTGGTGTTGTGAGATATATAATATTACTAAAGTTAGGAACTTCTGTTCATTTTTTTCCCCCTCAGTGTTTCGAACTTAGTGTGACTTCTGCTTTTTAGTGTTTTTAAGGAGGTGCTTATGTGCTTAGGGTATTCACTTCCTTGTGTAAATGCCTTCGTTTTAGGTGGTATCGTTGACTGAGGCTTTTTTCTTACAAGGCAGAATTAGTGACTGGGAGCATATTCCTTATGACATTTTAGAAATGAGAGCTATCAGCAGGAGAGTAATTTTAGGAAACAGCTCTTTAGTAATTGATATTCCGTTGCTATTTTTAAAACAGACTCTTGAATTGTGCTGTTGGAGCCTTCTCCAGGGATCCTAATTTGTTTTTGTGTTTATCTCAATGGCTTTGGCTTTAGTTCCCTAATGGGACCATTGACATAGTAACCACCCCTGTGGCTGTGCGTTAGGATTTTTTGACTATGAGATTATCAGGTGAACCTCCTGCAAATTTTTTTTTTTCCTATTCCTGCGGTGCCGTTAGTGGTCTACCTGCTGGATTTCGGAGTGGGGATGGAAGGTTTGGGGGCTTTCTGGGTGTGGTAAGAGTTGGTCGAGTGTGAAAATGCCTCAGCGTGGTGACTCAGAAAAGCTAGTGTGATTTCACTCATTCGGTGAAGGTTCCTGGTCAGACACACGTTTTCTGACAAGAGTTTCTAGTTCATTTTGGAGGGATCCGTGTGCTCGAGAAGGAGATTGAGATTTGCGTTTTTAGTCCCTAAGTGAGAAATGGAAAACAAGCCCTTGGTGTCTCACCAGTGACACCAGTGACTTTTTATTTCCAGTGAATTATTTGAAGTCACTATAGTCTTCTGGGTGCTTCCTTATTTCAGTGACTTTGCCTTTTCCACAGTTTTGCACACAAAAGCAGCAGAGTCCCTCCAGCTTAACTGAAAGGAGACTGAGGGGGGGGAGGGAGTGGGGGCTGCAGAGAACCTCAGCCAATGGGCCAGGCTGCTCCCCGGGGAGATGTTACTTTTCTGAGATGGCCAGAGACAACCATTTTGTTATGTTGACACGTTATTCAGTTAACGAACCAATGAGTGTAAATCCTGTAAAAGCTGACTATTTGTCCAAGTCATAAAGCTGCTCTGGCTGACTGAAATATTTGTTGAGCTAATGAAGCAAATAATGGGCTGTATCGAGAAGAGTAAACTGATCCCGGGACTCACCGTGCAGGCCCCATGCAAAACCCGGTCGTTCAGATATGCATGCCGGTTGTCTCAGGCCGTGTCAGAAAAGAAATGCTTTTATTTAATAGAGTCTGATTCATAAGCCGAGGCTGATGGGGGATCACCATCTTAAAAAAGTAAGGCCTGGGGTGACAAAGACAGCTTTTGCGTTAGGCTCAGTACTCCGTAAACCTTTTCCAAACAAAGGTTGTTGGACCTGGCCTTCCACGTGGTTGAAAGAGGTTGAGAAACACAAAACTGATCTTTTCCCCGGAGTGGCATCTCTGCTTATGTGGACACTGAAAATTGGGATCATCAGTTGCAAAGCTTGGCCTTTCGGAGTATTCATAGAACGTGCTAAGGGGTTTTGAAAACAACATTTTAATGATTCTCTATTTTATTTCCTCGGAGCATCGAGACAGACTTAAGGAGATGGGTGGCGTTTTTGACGTTAATTCAGTACGGGGCTGTACAGCCATTTCTCTGAGGTGCCGAAGGGGGTGCTCCAACGGACCCTGTGTGCACGGTGGCTGCCTCCTTCAAGGGCCTTAGGGTCTAGTGGGAAATAACCAGCCTTGAGCCAAGAGAGATGTTTACTTTAAAGTGAAGTTGTGTGAAGATTCCGTTTAACCAAAGACTGAGGATGGCTTTTATTAGTCTGTATTCACAGAACACATTGTTTGCTCATGGTTTTACATCAAATTCTTAAATTATTTCCTTTGAAGAGCTACCTCTCCATAATGTACAGGAGTCAAATAATATAGTTCTCTAAAATGACCATTGACTCCCATAATATATGGGAGTCAAATACTGTGGGAGGGCCCATCTTCCTATTGGTAAAACTGCCCTAGGAAATTGATCTTGAGAAGTAGTTCAGTTTTCTTTCATGGAAGTGGAGTTTCTTCAGTCACTTCCCAAACTCCAGGCAGTGAGTGAGTGTTGGAGAACTTGAAATTGTCCCCTCTGCTTTGGTCTTAGGGATGTCCTGTGCCTGTCCCCTCTGTGCCCCAGCCTAGCTTCAAACTGAAAAGTCAAGGTGAAGAGAAAGAACAGCCTTCAGGGAGGGAATGCTCTTCATTGTCAGTGGGAGTTATTTCTACGTATGAATGGGGGGGGTGGGGGGTGTCTTGCTTCTGTTTCACTAGGGTGCAGATACAAAGTGTAATTTGTTCTGGCCTTTCAGTTATTATTTCGTTCTTGGTCAAAGCTAGTTTGTGTCCGTGTGAAGTTGTAAGTGTGGTGTGTTGCTGTCAGTTCCTATAAATGGACATTCGTGCAGTCCGTTTGGGCCCTAGAGTCTGCCGGAGCCGGCACCGTGCGGCGCTTGGAGTCGCCCCGCCCATTTAGATCTCGCCGAGGCCCTGGGCCTGCCTCTCACGTGCAGTGTCTTAGAAACCGCCTCTGAGAGCGCCACCTCAGCACGCTGAATTTGACTCTGCCACACATCTGTTTGGACCAAGATGGGGACTTTTGGGTCAGGAACCAAGGCTGGCAGAAGGGAAGTTTAGGTCTTCATCCGTCAGTGCCTGGCCAGCAGAGTTGGATTTCAGAGTCGGAGAGAACAGAATGCTGGGGTCCCTGTAGCCCTGCCAAGGGGAAGAGAACAGTAACTTCCAGGAAGCAGCGATATACTAACTACTGTTTATTGAGAACTTACCCTCCACCAGGCAGTTTGCAGAAGTGATACATTTGTTCTTCTGTCTTATTGTGGAAGTAACATTGGCCCCATTTTACCAAAGGAGCAGGTGCTCAGGGAGGTTAAGGAGCCCAGCCCAGGTGACAGCTGAACTTGACCGAGGTTTTCCTCAGTCTGGGTTCTTTCTACCTTGCTGTGCCCTCTCTTGAAAAGGAATAATG